ACACGGACATACAATTTAGCAAGTGTTAACATTCGAATAATATATTGTACGTACCACACGATGCGCGCCATCAGAAAATAAGAAAGATCTGAAATAACACAGTCCCAGCCGACGACAGTCACATCTTGACGATCAGACGGAAGCCAAATTGAGTTTGTTTCGGGGCACGTTTTGGTGAGAGCTTCGCTTCCTTTTTTTACAATAACACCAAAGTAAAGCAACGAATGCGATTAACCCGTTTCCCACACAAACCCCGACAACAATTTTCGGAGATGACAGGGGATTCTGATTATATCAGGGAAGGGCGAGAACAATGCTCGCGACGTCACGTCGAGGGCCGTTCGGCGTCCTTCACCTCCTTCGTTTCCAATGAACTCCGAGAAGAAAAGCTTGAATAGCAGGCACCTACCAGCCTTATTTCTGACAATGGAAGATAACATAAAAAGGGTACGCAGCACGCATAAAAAAAAATAAGTGGAAACTTTCAAGAGGGGCTTAAAAACATCGAATGCAAAACCGCAAAACCGTAGGTAGAGAACCGCGATGAGCGGGTCTTCCCAGTCCAAGAGAGTGGCAGAACATTTCTAACTGATAGAAGCTGGGAGAGTCGCACCAGTCGCATTAGCATCAGCAACATGGCGGTGGCCTAGGAGCGTTTTTTGGAAAGGTGTATAGGTCGGCTGAATGTTCCGGTGGCGAGGAGGGGAAGTTGAAGTCCCATAAGCCCCTCCCCTGACAACGCCACCGCCTGGTGGCACCTGCTAATATTAGCCTATAATGGTGCTACCATCGATCAAAATAGCTTCACTGCAGAGCTGTAAAAGTTACTCATGAAAACTAATGAAGTTACAGTTACCTGAGCTGAAGTGGATTTAAATTACAATTACACACATACAGTTGTAACTCGTTAAATTTAGTTTACAAAAAATGAAAGTAAGTTGCATCGCAATTACTTCACCGTTTCAGCAAGATATCCAGTGCCATCTCAGTGTCTGGAACGAGTCTCCAACTGCTGTGTTTAGCGCGTCCTAAACGAATTGTCCCTAGATTTCTGCCTGATGACGTCATACAACAGTCATGCTGTCGCCGGCCGCGACCCTGGCGATGTCCCAGCAGCGGTGCTGGGTGTGGCGGACGCCTGTTCTGCTCCAGGTCGCTCTCCAGTGTACCAGATCACGGAAGCTTCGACAGCCAGAAGTCGGGACGCCGCGACGACAGAGGCACTCGCGCTCGCACGTGCTTCTCGCCAGCGTTTCTACGATCAACCGCAAGGATCGGGACATCCAACAGCAGGGCACTCCGGCTTCTGTGGCGTCATTTCTTGCCACTTTGGGACTACTTTTGATGTATGGGCGGAATAGGACGCTAAACACACCAGTCGGAGACGTGCTCGAGGTACCTTAGCGAAACCAAGGAACCCTTAATGATCTAGGCCCCCTATTAAAACGTCGGTTGTCGCTCTGTTGACTCTTACCGGAGGCTCCGTTTCACGTTGAAGTTACTTGTAAACTTTCAGATTACATGCGGCTATCAGTGCTGTGATTACCGAAGTGTCGTTTAGTTCTAAAAAAAAACTATCGGCTCTCAACTGACATTTTGAACCCTGGATGGTGGGGAAACAAAGTGGGGAAGTCATTGATTGCACTCTGGGTTAAGTCGTCATTCTGAAATTGTAAAGCGGAGAGTTTCGAAGTCAGTATTAAGGAATTCAACAAAGTTTGCTGGCACTCACCGTTTAGGCGTAGAATCGCTAAAGCAGCTTCGTAGATTGTTCCTCGCGGACAACGGCAGGAAGTTCGTGTCTTCGGCCATCCGTCGGTTGCTGACCATTTGTAACTTACCAAAAGGCGTCGGGGTAGAAAAAAATACCGTAAGATCTTGAGAGATGCGCCACCCCCGAAAGATAAGGCACCCTTAATAATGCGAATGCCTTCACTGTCTCATGGAGCGAGCTGACGTCATCAGTTTGAAGCGCGAATACGGCTCCTGGTTTCCGCGATCCCAGTAGGAGCGATTCGCCTTCGGTTCCATTGGCTGGCGCACGTCGACGGGGCTCCTATCGGCCCCTGCTTCATAACCTCCGAGATCCCGAATCACGTGCGCGTTAGTACGCAGCAGACGACAAAGGGAGCGGACGAGCGGCTTGCATGCTTTCGCATTCACAACTCATAAGGAAATGCCTAGGTCTACCTCGAACTTTTTTTGACACAATTTGCTATCTTTTCTTTTTTTTTTTTCAAGATCGCCGAGAGATTGCCCACTTCTAGTAATTGCAGGGTCTTGGCCAATCATGACCTCGGCCGAAATTGTGTTACTTAGCCACGGCAAGATATAAGCGAACATTGCTCACTGGGAAGGAGAGTTGTCTTTTCGATTGCGATTACAGGTTTCGTAGATTCCAAAATCTAAAAGTAGCATTTTTTTAAACTTGTTTTGTTCGCACATCTAAATTTAGCCCACCCCTTATTCCACCCGATTTGCTTTCGACTTTGGGTGGGCTATCCCTCGGGGTATTACGGTAGGTTTTTTTGTGTGCCTCCTTTTTATAATGTCTCCCATAACCTTAATGCGCTAGTGAAGAAATTTAGTGTGACAGCTGTTTTTCAACACAATTATCGGCACTTCCGGCTTACACCTTTTTTGTCACAGAAGGCAGGTTGTAACAAAAACCAGAGACCCTCCCGTGGATTGTGATCTGGGTGTAGTGTGCAAGATTTCTGTGGATTTGGTTCTTGCCAAGGGGTCAGACGGCCAGATATGTTAATGACAGGTTAACTGAACACAAACGAACGGTGAAGCAGAAATCCGTGGCTTCAGAATTAGCGAATCATCAGCGAATCGTTGTTTAGAAAAATGGCGAAGAGCTCCACAGAGAAAGGGTTTGTTATGAACGTTTACTGAAAGACTCGGTGATGGTGGATAGGCTAACGATTGTTTTTGAAACAAGTTCGTTTCTCTAGAGTATAGACATTAGCATGAAAGCGTTTCTTAATCTACGATTTTTTCTTTTTTGTGGCTCTGTTAGGAGTTGGTTGACCTCATTCCTTTTGTTACTTAGTGGTCACTCGGTGTTTCCCTTTCACTTGGTCCTCAGTTTTTTTATGTTCGTATCACGATGCAATATATCATTTCTTTGCTGGGGGATCTTGTTTAGGCGTTGATATTCACCCTGGATACGCGTATCTTGGTTCGGTACGCGTGACGTCGTCGCTTTCATCTAGTTTCCTCTTTTTAAATAGTTCGTAAAATAAACCTCAGCTGTGTTTGGAGATTCGTCTTGTCCTATCCCTCTGTTTTCCCACTCCACAGGGTTAAACATGTAAGTTCTTTAACAGCTCGCCTGCACCCTTGCATCAAACTTTGTTCGGACCGGTTCCATTTCAATCGCGATAATCTGTAAATTTTTTATCCGCTGGAGGACACATGCAGCGAAAAGGTTTTAGCAGGTTACATTCACCCTCATCGTACTGGCGGTATTTACTACATTGCTGTCATATGTTAGCCTGTTTCAGACGATCGCCTCATAAGTTTAATTACCAAAAGTGCTAACCGTTTGCTTCCATTCCAAAAGTGCTGCTCTTGCTCAATCAAGTCTGGCTCAAAATTAACAAATTCTAGTGTCATGAAAAGCCAACCCGGTAATGATTCAAACAATTTCATCGACAAGTGATTCCACTAATTCGAAGTGCTCGGAGATGATGCTCAAAAGTGAAAATTTGGAAAGTAACTCTATCTAAGCCAAATTACCAGTCACACAAAAATTTTTAAGTTGCATTTATACCGTATGTAAACTAATGATTTTAATGCACTTTAGACGTTCCGAAAAATCAATTTATCAATGTATCGCACTGCGATTTACTGGAAAGGTGCAAACATAAAGTGAAAGGCAGTAAAAAAAAATTAAGGAACGAACTTACCTCATTTAAAAGAAAAGAAACAAAAAATGAAAGACGTTTACAAATCTCTAATGCGAAATTAGAGCGCAGATCTTGAAAGGGCGGACGAGAGTGTACGAAGCGGAGGGTATGTCCCCGCTCCTCCTTCGCACCCTCCCCTCCTCTTTTTCTCCTCGCGTCCTCCTCCTCTTCTTTTCCTCCTCTTCTCCTCCTCCCCTCCTCCTGCGTACCCTCCCCTCCTCCTCTATATCCTCCCCTCATCCCACAGTTTCCCCGCTAAATTTAGCTGGAAAAATAACGTCACAAGACTTCTTGTCACGTCACCCATAAACAAATTCAGTTTCTCCGCTAGGTTTAGCGGGAAAACAGACATTACATGCCCTCAACACCAATTCAATTTCCCGCTAAATTTAGCGTGGCTGTTACGGTGATGGTGACACCAACGGCGACGCCACTATACGGGGAAACGGGCGCCTAAGAGCTGCGCTTTAAAACCTATCCTGGTCAATCTACGCCGACACTTCAGAGATAATGCACACTTAGAGAGACGATCTGCTCACAGATGGCGTATGCCGCGTCAAGGGAGCGCTTGCCGGTGATTGATAGCAGACGATCTCGCAAAATAACTCGAACCGGCTGGTGCTCCCTAGACGCGGCGTACGCCATCTGTAGGCAGCACTTATCTCTACGCGTGCAATCGTCTGCTAAGTGACAGCTTAGATTGCCCGGAACAGATTTTTCTTTTCCTTTTAAACCAGGTAGGATTATTTCCTGGTTTTGTTTTTCGCTGTAAAATTCCACTACCTGTTTGCACCTCTGTAAGAAGTCGCATCGCGATTAGAAACCAATTTATGCAGGCGGTCTAAATGTCCCTAAAAGCGTTAGTTTACATGATGTTGTTACTAAACTTTTATTGTAACTTGAAAAGTGTTTAGTTAAAGAAATGTAACTAACTACAGTAACTCAAATCCTTTTAATTAGTTTCTTTACTGCTTCGCTCCACTGTCAGGTCAGGATTAGCGTACAGCCCTGGAGGATTTCAGATGCCCAATCGTCTAAACTATATTAAAAGTGCGTTAATTTGCTTTTGTACCCCAAAATCAGGAAAACTACCAAATGCTACTCCGGTTCCCCCAGGAAGCTACACCTACACTCTGTGGGATAACTCCACCTCTTATTTCAGAAGTACTCCCTTTCCTGATAGAGGTGAGTTCAAGTTTAATTCTGGACAAGCGTGGAGCATGTTTTTGTTAGTGGTGTATTCAATTTGAATTGCGAAAATGATTTTCTCACTCAGGAAATGCTGTAAATCCTCGGCTGAGTGCACGAGACTATGGTTATTCTACGTGGAATGTTCTAGATGAATTGTTCTACAATCCGAAAAGAGCTGACTATGCTGACATGTATGTCGTATACAACGAGCCGCAATGTTATATCCTTAGGAATCCCGCAGCCAAAGGAGGTAAGTTCATTAATACCTTAGCGAGACAAATGTCACATTGTCTTGTTTTTTGCTAATTTAAATGATAAGTATAGCAGCTACAGTACGCTTTATAACAAAAGAAAAAACACCCAAATTAAGCTTGCTTGGCGCTGCAATCTTGACTAAAACGAGCTGTTCATTAGGTGTATTGCGAAGGATTTATTTTCGGATGTTTTAATTGAGATTTGCGCGTAGACGCGTCCTGCTAGTGTAAGATAAACTCTACGTTTTGCGGTATGTTCAGTTTACAGAGGTCGTGTCTAAACCCGTTGGTAATCTTCAATGCCTGGATGGCACATGTGCATATGTTAACCAAAACAGGGGTATTCTTGGTACCAAAGTTTTGTTTCAACGAAAAACGAGTTCTCCAAACAATGCCCAGTATCGTGCGCAATCAAAGTTTGTTCAGTTATGATTGCAGATGGTGACATTGCAGGACTCTGGTGAAATGTCTTATACTGCTGGTGCCGTGTGTGATTTCAAATACATTCAAAATGCTAGTGCAACTTCATTTCAACGTAAGTTCGTGCTGAGTGGGAAACTTGCAAGATAATTGAGAATGAGAGGTGGGCCCTAGTAGAAAACAACAACAAGAACATAATAGATGTTTTATGCATCGCTTCTGGAACAAATACCTAAAAGTGAATAGCCCAGGTCAACGATAATATGAAGGTTTAATTTAGGAAGAGAACACCATTGGCCGTCTGAGCTTCCCGGCGACCAAAACATCTGCATCTATTCTTGTCTAACCATAGCTTGGCAAACGGCTAAGGCTACTGCCCGAGTGAACCAATCAACGCGTCAGAGCAAGGCACGTGACTATACTCTAACTCACTATTTGCACGCAGCGTTCTCAAAGCCATGAGCAAGAGAGAGGGGGAAGCCGCTTTTGTACTAATTTTTTGAGACGGCCTAATTTCTGAGGGGGAGAACAACGGCGTCTGGGACACACAAAAGAGGGTTCGGGTTAAGAGGGAAGTTCCTTCTTCCTCTCCTCTCCAACTTCTCGGGTGACTCTGTTTCCCTTTTTTCCTTCTTAAGGGCTGTCACGTGCTTCACCACCGTCACTCCGATTGGCTCAAGCGGGCCGTAGTTTTCGCTCTTTGCGAAGCCAACGTGAAATGATATATACTAAAGTTTGTTCCTGTGTTGCGCAGATGGTAGTCATCCACGTTTCGTACCGCCAGCCTTGTGCCGGTTGCACGAGTGCTAACTTTAGCGCACTTCCACACTTTACATGTGCATTAAATCCTAGAATTTTATAATTTAGTAGCCTTTAATGACCCACAGCAAGTCTCCCATTGGAACCATACGTCTAATTTCACCAACTAAAAAGTTATGTAACAAGTTTTAGTTAAATGTCCGACTTATCATGACAGGTAGCCCACTATACACTGCGTGCGACGCGACCGGCGCGCCGCCGCGCGGCCGTTACCGAAGGTAGGCAGTGAGAGCCCCGGCGAAACGAAACCACGCCGCGTACATTGGTACGCATTGAAGTCGGAGCGGTGCGGTTGCGCTGGTTTAACACCATGAACTGCTGCGTCGTTAAGTGCTCCAATAGTTGTGCGTCGTATCTCGTGGGGACGATGTTTCACAGTTTTTCACCTCGCCGATGATTTGTGGGACAGCAAAAAATTTGCCGTACAGCCGTACGACGCGAGAAATTTGGTTTCCCTATCATGACTGCCACTGTGTCGGCACGGCTGACATATTCTATACTGCCGCTTTGCGCTTTTGCGCTCTGTGTTTGTTTTCGTACCAGTGACGCCTACGTATTGTCACGGGTGGTGACCAAAATAAAAGGAAATAAACAGGAAGAAATAAACGTTTAATGGGGCGAACTTGTGCCAAAAATAAAGGAGAACAAAGATAACAGAGCGTCGCGGGTGTCGAAGTCGGCGTAGCAGCACAGTCGAACGCTGGGGCGAAACTGACTCGACAAGGTCGCGGGCGGCCTCTTATCTAAGGTGAGTCACTATCTCGAAGATTCGGCGGAGAAGGTTCGAGCGTAGCGCGCTCGGGGCGACAATGAACACGCACTTTCTGGAACAACAAAAGCAGGGATAAACGATAGAAGTTACGTCTGGAACAAGAATAAAAGAAATTTCTAGATGTTCGTGATCGAGCGTTGCTTTCTCAGCCCTGCGCGCGGCAATATATCATCTCGAACTGAAATGCCATCCCACACCCGCCAGTATGCAGTGCGAATTTCTTTGAAGGAAGTCCCTCGAAAGAAGTTTCGTCCCCATCGTACGTGTCGATGATATTTCCGGACCAGTATGGCACGCGGTCTGTACTTCATGGAGAAAGATTCGGACGGTACAAAAAGAGACAAATGTGAATCTAAGGAAAACTGCAATGAAACTTGGAATCACTGGATAATTTATATTTGAGTATGGAAGTTTATGTGGTGTGCTTTATTTTTTTATCAGCCTCCTTTTAGATGTGGAAACGCTGACAGCCCGAGTCTTGTAGACAACAATTTTTTTTCTCGGCTTTAGAGCCATTTATTGCAAAGTTATTCGAACTGGAAGTACCGTCCATTGGTCCCTTCCTACCCAGGGCTTAAAGGTCGGGGGGCCTCATGGGGTCTGGACCCCCCCCCCCCTCCCCTGATTTTAATGGATGGTCTGAGACCCTCTTCCACAGTTCCACAATTAGTGAAATCAAAATCATACCTTGCAATAAGATAGCTTGTTTTTAAGGATGTAACATTTGGGGTTGAGGTTTGCAGGTACAGCGTGGACGGAGTGAGCAATGGGGTTTATTTTATGTGCATCTATTACCATCTCCATCAAAACTCCCCCCTTTTCCCCTACCTTCTTCTAGGGACCCCCGTCAATTTTCGGGAACTTTAAGCACTCTTCTCCCCTGTAAAGTGTGCACCTCCCGGCCAAGATGAGTGGTATTCTCTTGACAGCCTTTGACGGTCGAAACCGGTTACGCCGCCCCAAAATATTTCCACCTGATTAAACTATGCCACCTCTTTTAGATATAATAAGTGTTTTGTCAAGTTACACTTGTCAAAGTACTTGTGTGCCGAAAATCAGCACCCCGCACAACCAGATTACTACACACCAGCACCGCAAAAGCCTTTGACGGTCGAACCGTGTGTTGGCCGGCAACTTGGCTTTCTCGGCTTTGAAGCCACCTTTCGTCAAGTTGTTCCAATTGGAAGTACAGTGCACTAGTCCCTTCCTACCTGAAAAGTCTCCATCTCCCACGGCGCGTGGTATACTCTTGAGAGTCATTTCACGGTCAAAACCATTTGCCTTTCAGCTACGCCGCCCAAACCAAATTTCCACCTCGTTCCTCTATGCCACCTGTTTTTGGTATTATAACTGTTGTGTCAAGTTACGGTCATGTTTAAGAACCTCTCCAAGAAGACAACATTTTGGGTTCAATATTGGATATTCCTGACAGCTTTATTCCTTTATTCGTTCGAACCATAACTTTCACACATGCTGTCTGATTAAAACTTGGTCCACTTAGTGCACAAACTTAGTGAACATCTCACTTGCCTCTAAATATCATCGTCCCAGCAGTCCAGCAGTCCTACGTTCGCAGCGAAGAGCAAAACGAATTTCCCACTGAGAGCAATTATGGTGGCGTCCGACTTGCTTTTCGGAAAATTTCTCAAACCCCTTTATCAACCGCAACCAAAGAAATTACCACTAATAACGACTCAAACTCAATATATAAGAGGCGGAGAACAGCTAAATGCGCTTTTTAAACCTGCCCCAGCACCCATGCAACGTCACCCTCAACTTATCGGTTAAAAAAGCAAAAGTTCCGACCGTGCGCGCTTCCGCCGCCACAGCTTCGCACGCGAAAAGGCGCCGCAGGCTGCTGAGCGCGCCGCACTGTCGAACGCCAGCTCATCCGCCAGCGGCGCTACGCGCGTTTTTCAAAGCGCCCCCTATAGTTCCCGCACGGAGCGTATAATATGACCCCCTGATTTTAAAACTTATCTGCAAAAACAGCATTAGTGTACCTTTCATGTCTATTGGTATCTGATTAAATTAAAATGAAACATCATGTATATTTACCACATTCTCAAAACTGCCTGAGAGCGTGGTAGAAGTGCAGATTTCTAGTTGCTGTAAATAAATATTGAATTAATTGCAACAAGGTTTTGTTAAGTCTGTAACAGTAGAAATTAACTTAGCAGACTGGGTGACGTTGGCCTCATTAGCTGCCAAGTATGGGCAGGTGGATGCCATTTAATTTGACTTAACCAAAGCATTTGACCTTGTGCACCACGATCTATGTGTGAACAGGCTATCGGAATATGAGGTGTGTTTGCCGGTATCTTCGTGGTTTCATCATATCTTTCCTCGCGCATTAATAACGCCCGTGTTAACACTGTGTTATCCAGATCACACAAAGAGAGGCATCATTGGAAAAATGTTAAACGGCAAGGGTCCTAGAATAGAACCCTGAGGAACGCCACGTTCCTCAGGGTTCTATTCTAGGACCCTTGCCGTTTAACATTTTTCCAATGATATCTCTCTTTGCGTAAAACATTCGAATTTGCTTCAGTTAGCTGATTATATTACGATTCAAGCGAACCCAAATCACATTTTGATTGTGAACTGCTGCAGGGCATATCTGCTATCTCATCATGGTGCGCAACAAAAATTACGTCTAAATAGTAAAACACTTTTTTTTTATCACGCAAGAAATGTGCGCTTAATTTTTTGTATAAACAAGACAATCAACCGTTGCGACGTGAATATTGTGTACATGACTTAGGAGATTATATTGATTCCTCCCTTAGTTATATCATGTGCCAAATTCGGTTAGTTCTTGTTTGTGACTTTTAGGTTTGTGTTCGCTATGACCCGTCATTTTAAAGAGGCTTCATGCTTCGTCAGGCTTTATGCATCTGTTGTTCAATCGAAACTAAAGTTTGTTTCTGTAGTTTCGAACTGTCTGGGAGTAACCAGCCCTGCTAGCCTAGAACCTGTGCAGAGAAAGTTGGCACATGTAGAATACGACTGTTATTGCGGCACCCGGTTCTTTTGTAGCTTACTAGTCAACGTTACTTCGGCTAAACTTGCCAATACTGGCGCCGGAATTTTCGAGATTATGTATTTTTTGTCTTAAACTGCACATAGCAGAGTACGTTGCCCCAGACTTATTTCTTTGCTTTCTCTAGATTTACCTCCCGTAAATTGTCCTCACCACAACACTTTCTACGTGCAAGACATGTGTCAATTACCCACATTTTACTAATTTAAAGGTATTTCTTTGCACTGAATGCGGTGGTTGACATTTTCGGGAGTGAGTTGTGTCTGAAAAGTATAAAAATCATCCGCATATGATAACATCAGTGTTCGCTTTTTCTGTCTGTTTTGTTAGTTTCTGTTTTTTTCTCATGCACGTGCATGTGTGTGTATGAGTGTGTACCAGAACTAAGGCCTGGGTTGTCTCTGGACACAATACAAATAAATATATAAAGAATACCTAAACATATAATGTTTAAAGATATAACAGGGACACTTACGGAACGCTGTGTCAGAATAATCAGCTGAGCTTTAACTATAAAAAAAATATTCAAAACCTGTTCTTGCTTTTCTCTTTCAAAAAAGAATTGATACCCATTCAATGAGATATTCGTATTTTATTTAATTTTTTGGTGTGTGGTTAAACGGCTCGGGTCCGGGGTTTAAAGACATAACAGAAAACACTATGCTTATCTAAGCTTTGTTTAACTTAGTAACGGTTTGTGCGACGACGCGACTAAAGAAAGAAAAAGAAAACTCGAAAAAAAAACAGCAACAAAAACAGACAGACACAAGAGTAGTACACACTACAAGCGCTGACTGACAACTGACATTTTTATTTTATAGTGTTAACTTACACCGGCTCTCCGCTCCGCAACTGATTTTCGTTTTCATTTGGAGTCACTTGCTTCCGCACGTTTAAGTACTTTCACAGTCGCCCAAAACTGTCTGTACGATGTTCGCGATTAATTGGTATCTTGCCGATTTTATAGGATGCGACTTGTGGCTGAGAAAATCTGAGTTGAAAAGTATAGTGGATGACTTGAAAGATGAGATTATAAAAAAAGAAGAAGAAAAACTGTATGAGGAGCATAAGAAGACAGTGGGAATCGATGAAAACTGCACTCCGACGAAAGGTCAAGAAGAACTTCTAAACGCTTTCATAAAAGATGGCATTGAAAGATGGTTTCAAGACATCGTATTGAAACAGATTTCCCTCGAATGCGTTCTCGCCTTCATGATAACCTGTGGAAAGCCAGTATTGAGAGTTTACGATCCGATAACCTGTAATACCTCACTAACAGGGCAATAAGTGTCAACTTCCTAGAATTAACAGGCGTGATTCTCAATTGCACGTCGGGTGGTGAGGAAAATCAGTGTGTACGCAAACTTGACATTAAAAAAAAGTCTGCCACTGTCTAGTGTCTTTCATCCTTGGAAATAAAATGCCTTTGAAAAATCACAGCTTTCATTTTGTTCTCGCTGCAAAAGAAAAGGAAAAAAACATGCATGGTGTTTTAGATAACTTGCGCTGAGACTTTAAAAACATGGTGCGCACTACACGTTTCAAACAAACGCAGTATTGTTCAGTTGAGCTAATCAAGTTACTTTTTTTAATTGGCCAAACTGGCTATGAATGCAGATAAACTAGCCGACTTTTTTTAAATATTATTTTGTACCGCATCCTTTCAATACGAACGTTGTAGGGTGCGTTGAAAACGTCTCCATAGTGTCGTTTTTGCTAAGGTAGCCTTTTCGTGTCTAATGTTTTCAAGCGGTAAAAAAACGAATAAAAAATACATGGGCGATTTTTTTTTATTGAACGTTTATTTTACGGAACTAAGGTCATGACTCATAACCATCGCAGTTCGCCAGCCGGTAATTACCGTATTGTCCAGACTATACTCGGCGGACTATACATTTTTAAAAGTTGAAATCTTACCCTGTGCGGACCATACAAGATTTTGTATTTTTCTACAATGTTCACTGTGACAAGACGCGAAGGCTTTTTATGAGTAACAGAGTATAATAATAGTGATTTATATGTGATACAAGCTTCTTTGCGAGTTAATGCAGCAGGTAGTTGTCAAGGTGTGATCTGTATGATCATTTTTACTTTCGGATTAGGCACTAAGTGCGGACTATGCAACGGGTGCAGACTATACTCCGTAAAATACGGTAATGGAATGTTTTAAATCTAGCACAAGATCTTCGAGCTTTTGTTTTTAAAGCCAAACATGAATATACCCATGAAGGATACCTTTATTTGTGGAAATGACAGGATGGGCTCAACTCACCCTAAAACTTTCGTATAGCGGGGTTTGCGTACAAATTATGAGTTTAAAAGTTAGCTAGTATTAATCAGCGATTTTAGCGTATCACAAGAAATATCTGGAGCTGCACGAGAGGACTATGAACAATACTGCATTGGTTCAACAAGCGTAGCGTGCACCAGCTTTCCTTTAAGTCTCGGCACAAGTGAACTGAAACATCTTTTATTATACTGGGTTGCTTATCCGTGCACACCGAACCGGACGCCTTCGTCCCGCAAAGTATACAGTAAGCAGCAAGGGCCTTGCAGTGTCGAGTAGTCCAACCCTAAATCGGTATACACCCCGGGCTTTACTCTGTCTCCTTTGCTCATCGGCCTTCGCTAGTGCAATTAAAACATTTTTTCTTTTTTTTTTCTTTTTTTGTGAAACAAAAAGAAGAAAGAAAACGTGTCAATAATCTGTTTAATCTTGCATTGGACCCTTTACCTTGCCCTGTCTGATCATAGCATGTTGATGCGGGGGTGGGGTGGCATCGTCCTTTTCTTTTGGGATTAGGCACTATCTTTTTGTCTGGCTTCTTGCGTCTTTTGCGATGATGCGCTTTTGCTTCCGTCAGAATTCCTCACGCCAAAGGAAAATCGACAGATCGATAACCCGTATGTTTGTGCACTTTTTACGCCACCGGTGGCAGTCCTCTAAATTGCTCTCGGAGTGTCGCGTCTGCAGCAAGGAGGCGCGAGATTTGCTTCTACGACGGCGGCCACCCCTTCCCGCTGCTTACCTTAGAGCAGGGGTCAGGCAACACCTCCTAGACTAGGAAGGCCTCAGCGCTCTTTGCGCATGGCCGAAACAGAAGGCCATCGGGGCCACTCTAAAGCGAGGAAGAGAAGGAATACGCGGGGGGTTACCGTCATAGCAACCAGTTATCATTGATGCAAGCGTGTTCGTTGCCTCAAATGCCAACTGAGCACAACCTTCGTGTTAGGAAGCTGGTTTTCTTAAACTGGCGAATTATTTCTTCGTAAAATCAATGATGTAAAATACAATAACGCTGTAAGCGTATAATTCTCGAGATGGGGTTTCGTTTTAAGCCCGAAATGGTGCATGATGTAATTATCCCCGCAAAATGAATTATTTATGAAGAATACTTGCCAAGAATTACACGACGAAGAAGGATTGAAAACGTCAGTTTACATCACAGCATCAATAAAGTTCACTTAGTAAACGAATGTAGTAACTGCATTCTTGCTTGAAGCTAAACGGTTCAGAAAGCTTCTTGTCAAGAGCTACTTGCATCTACACCCCAAGTCAAGCTGAAATTATGACAGTTCACCATGGCGTAGGGGGGGATGCTTCAATGGAACGATGACCTGTGACCCTACGTAGCATATCCGCGTGTGACGTCCCTCGAAGGATATCATTCTCCGTAAAGTGAAGCTCGCGCAATCGAAAACAAATTTGCCTTCGTATAAATTACAACAACTTATGAGTACATTGAATTTGGTTCCCACGTGTCGCACGAAGCACAAATGATCCCGATAAATATATTCGTGCACGAACACGCGAGTCAACATATTTTCACGTGCACGTTGTGGCGTTCGACTTCCGTCGTCCGCGGCGGAAGATTGACCAGACGGCTCGTCCCTTTCACAAACTGAGGTTTATTACCATCTGCGGGGTACGCTTGAAGGCTGGGCGAACAGTCCCCCTTTTCGCTGCCGCACGCGCTTATATTATCCGCCTGTGCCGAGGAGCCGCCCCCCAGGGCGGTGGCGCGTCGTTGGCCGGATGGGCGTGGGGTATCGGGCCGAGCGCCCACATCTCTCCCCCCTTCAGAGGTCCATGTCTAGGATGGCGTCCTCCGGGGCCGCATGGTCTCGCAAGAGGTCAGGGCGGGCCTGACGAAGCACGCGGAGGGCCTCTGCTACCTCCAACGGGCGGTCGACAGCACGATGCGCAGCCTGGACAGCACGGTGGGCCCACTCGGTGGCGAGCAGAGACTGATGAAGGGCCCCGGCGAGGTGTGTGGCCCGGTGGATCTCTGGGACGCCGCAGAGGGGGCAGAGCAGCCGGCGTTCGGCATCACTGTAGATGGCGGGGGGTTCCACCGGGTGGCGGACTTCCAGGGTGTTCCCCCGGAACGGCTCAGGAACGGACTGTGGTGGGGCACCGCGTTCCGGGCGTGGCTGCTCGCGCCAACGCAGGCTGGAGGCGTAGGCCACGGGACGCTCCTCGACCAGGACCGTTTAAGTGGCCACGCTGGCAGTGCGGGGGTGGTCACGACGGCCACGGGAAAATCTCGGGTTGCGAGCCGAGAACCGGGTGCCATAACGGCGGTCGTAGGTGCGGAAGGGTTCCATCTGGACAGATGGCATGACAAAAGAAAACACGAAGGGAGAAGATTACGGGTCTGATATAAAACTGAGTTTGGAGGCACTCGCGAAATCAGGCAATCCTTTTGAAAGACAAAAGGCAGACCCACGGGAAGGAGAGGTCGTCTCTCCCTCTCTCCGCGAAGAGAAGTACAACCAGCCAAATAGGATATGGTCATCCAGCGGATGTTAAGTCATCGCCGGCGCAGGTTGTACCGCCTGGGTGGGGTTCCGTGATCCAAGGGCTGGCTGGGGGCTGGGTTGTCCGGGACCTGCGGAAGAACTGCTGGCTCGCAGTAACGCTTGAGCTCAGACACGTGAATTGGCCCGTACTGCTGTGTACCATGCAGACGTGCTAGGCGGTAGTTCAATGGAGAAACTTTTTCCGTTACACGAAAGGGTCCGTCCCAACGGTTGGCGAGGTATGCGGCGACGCCTTTCGACGTGTCGCTGAGGAGATGTGTCCGACGAAGTACCACGTCTCCAATCTGAAAGTAGACGTTGCGGCGGCCGTTGTTGTACTGGGCGGCCTGTTGAAGACGAGCGACGTCGAGATTCTCTCGTCTGTGTACGAAAAGGAATTTTCCATTGGGAAGGTTTGCTCCTTACCAAAGGTGAGACGCGCGGGCGTGAAACCAGTTGATCGGTTGACCGTTGTGCGCGTTGCGAATGCCATCTCGTCGAGTTTGGCATCCCAGCCCTTGTGACGGGCTGTGTGGGAAATCAACATCATTTTGAGGTTGCGGTTGATCCTCTCCGTGATGTTGGCTTGCGGATGATACGGCGAAGTCAGCTTGTGCCGTATCCCAAGCGCAGCGCAGGTGTCAACGAAGATCTTGCTTCGAAAGTACGAAGCACCGTCCTTGATGAGCTCTGCCGGGAAGCCAAATCTGGTGAAGACGGACAGAAGGCAGTCCCAGATCCGCTGGGAAAGAAGCTTCCGTAAGAAGAACAGTTCGACCTACTTGGTGAAGTGGTCAGTCACAACAAGTAGATACTGATATCCGCGAGGACTACGAGGAAACGGTCCCATGACATCACATGCGGCAATCTGCCAAGGCGACTGGCTAACGACTGGCTGCCTTAATCCTGGTGGTTGGCCTCCACGAGGCTTCGCCTTCTGACACACTGGACAACTGCGAGCATCCTGCCCGATTCCTGGCCAAGTCACAACACGACATAACTTATCGTAAGTCTTACTGCCGCTGCTGTGACCCGCTAATGCTGAATCATGGAAGTACCTGATGAATGATTTGCGCAGCTTCCGAGCTATCACAATCCGGAAAGGCGATCCATCGCTGTCATCGTCTTTCTGGGGGATGCAGCGTAGAAGAAGTCCGTCTTCGCTCAGCAGGTACGAGTCGTACTTGTCGTCGCTTCCGGTGCCGCTTGCTCTTCGTGCCGTTAGCCTCTCGCACACGCGTCGACAAAGTCCATCTTCCTGCTGGGCCTTGCGGAGGTCTGCTCTGCTCACCAACGTCCCCCACCGTGACTCCGATGTGTCGGCCACGTTGTCTGTTAATCCCACCAACCTTGGTTCCGTCTCAGTGGGAGGGACCTGTAAAGGAGCCCGTGACAGTGCGTCTGCCACAACATTGGTTGCTCCTTTCTTGTAGGCGATAGTGTAGTCGTACTCTTGTAGTGTCAGAGCCCGTCGTGCAAGACGT